TGAGCTAAATGATACCGCCCAAAATAGTAATTGTACAGAACCCAAACTGTATTACTGATCTCCAGGGCTAAAGGAAGGGAGAATAGGAAGCTAATAATTATGAAAATATTACCTTGTTTAAGGGAGGGATGCACAGCCAATTAGTTGTGCACATGTAAAAAGTTGAATTGGAAAAGGTTGGTGCAATGAATACATTTATAATATCAATGAGAAGAAGAAAGCTATCAATGTACAATGGAAAACCTCATTGAGTTTGACTCCTGGGTTTGGAGATCTATCATTGTTTTTATTATGATCGTCCACCATCCAACAACAGACTGGAAGACTTGCCCACCCTGCACCATCCTCAAATCTATATTAGTCCTTCATTGGAGCTGGAGTGCCAGTGCCCCTCCTTGGATGACGCCTAGGGATTGGCCCTTCCTGATAATATGTGCAATGTATGTGAGGCAAAGTCTCACCATTTCTTCCAACGAGCATGCAGATGGTACTACTTACCTTATAGATTTATTAACTCTTTTGTCATTCTATAAAGAGCCCTGGTACACTGCTAACTATTACCAGCTTCTGTGTGAGAGGAAGATGAGGCTGTGTGCTCTTGGAAAGATACTGTATATAGTCTAGGAAATCCCATATAGGGTCTCTACCTGATGACAGTCGGTTTTTCAGTTTCCTGTCCGTGAATGTTATATTTAATATTTTTACAAACACCATAATTCAAAGGCGTCCAGTCTTCTGTAGTTTCCTTATTCACTGCCTAGGTTTCATATGGGAAATGAATAGATAGAAAATACAGTATACTACAGTCCTTCACATGGAATATTTACTCAATACGTTAAAAAAGATCTTTTGCAGCCGATTGGCTCAGTGCACTTACACTCACTGCCAGCGGCTGATTCCTACTCCTAAGATCCGATAGAACAGGGCAGAACCGCCCCTCTGTGTTTCTGAGAGTGAACTCTTTACAGGAGAAAGAAGCCTCATCTTTCTCCTGAGAAGCAGCTGGAGGTTCCAAACATCCAGCCTTGAGGTTAGCAGCCTAATACATAACACACTACATCACCAGGTCTCGCCCTTTGATTTCTTGACTTCTGCTTCCATGGGCATTGATTGTGGATCCAGTGAAAATGACATCGTAGACCATTTTAATCTTGGCTTCATTTATTGTGATGCCTTTTGTTGACCCAGTTGTGAGGATTTTTGTTTTCCTTATGTTGAGTTGTGAAATATGGAAGGCTGTCTTCCATCTTAGCCACTAAGTGCTTAAGGTATTCCTTGCTTTCACTAAGCAAGATTGTGTCCACATATTGCAAACCAAACCAAAGGTCATTGCCATCAAATCAGTGTTTACTCATAGGACCCGCAGAGGGTTTCTGAGACGGTAATTGCGTGTAGGGCTAGAAAGCCCAGTCTTGCTCCTGCAGAGGCTGCTGGTTTCCCAGTGCTGACCAGGTGGATCACAGCCGACCCTGTAACCACTACGACACCAGGGTTTAGTCTGCCTCCAGTCCTGATGCTGCAGTCTTCACCATACCGTCAAGCTGCTTGGATTATTTGCTTAGCACACACATACTAGCAGTGATAAACAATGATCCCCTGACAGTTGCACTTCCTGACTTCAGACCAGGCAGTATCACCTCATTCTGTTTGAATGAGTGCCTTTGGTACGGCTTCCATATGAAGTCAATGAAGTGTTCGAGTTCCCTTTGCAACACCATCCATATCTTCTCGGGTCTACACCGCTGAATGTCTTTGCATTTTCAATAAAACCCAGGCGAACATTTTTGCAGTTTTGGCCACATTCATTGATTTCAGCAAGCATTATTACTCATCTCTTCCTTGCAATCTGGCTTGACTTTCTGGATTTCCCTTGTGATGGAGTGCCACAACTATATTTGTGTTGTCGTTAACACAATTCTATTTGAAGGGGAGGCTAATGATATTGTTTGATAATTTCTACATTCTGTTGGGTCATCTTTCTTTGGAGTGGGCACAGTTACGGATATCTTTCGGTCTTGACCCAGACCCGTGAGTACCAGCACGGCATGCTTAATCAAAACCTGCCCATTGACGGGCTGTCCATTCTTGGGACTTGTGCTTTTCACAGATGCCTTCAGTGTGGGTTGGACTACTTCACGGACCTTCATACAGGGTTCAATATTGGCCAATTCTTTCTGGCGTAGACTAATTCTAATAGACTATAATTCTTCAATATTGCAAATCAAAGCTTTATTTTGTTTCCTTTGGCTCTTTCAGCTTGATATACCTGGTTATCCACTTGCTTTCCTAATTCCAAGTCTTTGCACATTTCATTATAATTCATTACTTTGTATTCTTGAGCTTGTTTCAGAATCTAATAAAAGCACAATCATACAAATACATACCTTTGCTTTTAAAAAAATGTTTGCTCTCTATGTTGTTGCATGTGGGACTGTTTCCTTTCATTGCTGTGAGATATTCTACACTAATGTATTTGTAAGAGATTTCTAATAAAACCATTTTTGGTACTCTGACTTTAGATTTGTTCTGAAGAAATCTAAGAGCAACCTAATATTTTGGTTTGTTGGTGATCTTTATTATTAGACATGAAATTAAAATATTATCTATGTCTAATCTAGCTCTCAATAAAAAATATTTATCTTTATTATTATTTATTATTTCCTTTTTACTCTAATAATGGTGATATTTTGTTTTAAATTCTATTTGCTTTTCGTTATTGACTTTTTTCCCATTTTAGAAAAGTTAATTTTGTTTATTTTTCTGAGCATCGGCACATAGAAGTTCTGAGAAATGGCTTTATTTCCTCATTAATACCTGTACATATTTCCTCATTACACTCTGGGGAAAATATTGAGTAATGCATGGATCATCAAAAGAACATGGAAAGAATAGCGAGTCACTCTACACAAAAGAGCTAGTCAATATTCCACCATTTGAGGAGGTAGCAGATGAGCAATAACCAATGGTGCTGAAGGAAGAAGTTCTAGATGCATGAAAATCATTAGCCAAAAACAAGTCTCCAGAAATTGATGGAATGTCCACTGAAATATTTCAACAAACTGATGGCACACTGGAAATACTCACCTATACCAAAAAATTAGGAAGAGAGCAAATTGGCCAACTGGCTAGAAGAGATCCATATTTGTACCCATCTCAAAGAAAGATGACACAACAGAATGCTCAAATCAAAGAACAATATCATTAATATCATATGCAAGTAGAATTTTGCTGCAGATCAGCCAACAATGGTTGAATCATCACATTGACAGGGAACTGCCAGAAATTCAGGGCAAATTTAGAAGAGATCTTGGCGCAAGGTATATTATTGATAATGTCAGATGGAAAACAAAGCATACCACAAGGATATTTACTTGTGTTTCATTGACTATGCCAAGGCATCAACTGGGTGGATCATAACAAACTATGGATAGTTTTGAAAAGAACATGAATTCCAGAACACTTAATTGTGCTCATGTGGGACTTGTAAATGGATCAAGAGGAAGTTGTTCAAATGGCACAAGGGAATACTGCATGGTCTAAAATCAGGAAAGGTATCAGGGAATCAAGGGTGTATCCTCTCACCATACTTAGTCAATCTGTATGCTGAGAAAATAATCAGAGAAGGTGGATTATGTGAAGAAGAACGCAGCAACAGGATTGCAGCTGACACAACCTTGCTTTCTGAAAGTGAAAACTTGAAACACTTGTTGATAAACATCAAAGACTGTAGCCTTTAGTGTGAATTAAAATTCTATGTAAAGAAGACCAAATCCTCACAATTAGGATTTGATGAATGGAGAAACGATTGACATTGTCAAGGATTTCATCCATAATCAATGTTCATAGAGATCAAATGACAGTGCATTGAATAAATCTGTTGAATGAGGTCTCTTAAAGTGTTGGGGGAAAAAAGGAGGTTACTTTGAGAATAAAGTGTGCCTAACTCAAGCCATCGTATTGTCAACAACCGAATAGTCCTGTGAAAGTTGGGCTTCGAATAAAGAAGACGGAAGAAGAATTGATGTGTTTGAATTATGATATCGGTGAAAGTTCCATGGACAGCAAAAAGAACAAACAAATCTGTATTGGAAGACATCCAGCCAGAAAATTCCTTAAATACAAGAATGGTGAGAATTTGTCTCACATATTTCGGTCATGTTATCAGGGGAGACAAGTCCTTCGAGAAGGACGCCATGCTTGGGAAAGTGGAGGAAGACTCTCAACAAGAAAGATTGGCACCGTGTCTGCAGCTATGGGCTCACACATAAGAACAGTTATGGCTCAGGGCTGGGCAGGGTTTTGTGCTTGGGTATATAGTGTTGCCAGGATTTGAAACCAACTTGATGGCACAGCATAAGAAGAACAATCTGTAAATAATATGTTAACTGGATTTCATGTACTTTCAGCTCTTTTCCGATTAGTTCTATCAACTAGCAAGACATATGAACCGATTCAATGGCACCGAAAAGCAAGTAAGCAAGAAATATAAGGCTTTCTCTTCCAACAAAGAGTTACACCTTATAAACAAACCCTAATGAGCAGTTAGGCTCTAGCCTCTAGTGCTACTTTGAGTCAGAATCAACTCCATAGCAGTGATATTTTATATTTACATTTAATCTCCATTTCGCGCCAGAAGAAATAATGATATCACAATTTAAGTGAAATTGGAAGTTACTTTTGCGCTTGTACATCTAGCATCCCTTGTCCCAATATCAGGAGTCTTATTACTGATTCCTTTATTCTTGAACACCCTCAATTACTATTCTTCCAGTGAGTACAACGTAGACATGCATGAATGATGAACATTTTTTACTTCTTAAGAATTATTTTAATACTATAGGGATATGGTGGGAAATATAAATCATATTGTTGTTGTCTGGTAAAAGGAGATCAATATATTCTCTAAAGAATATATAAAACATTTCAAGAAATATAACCTACAGCTAACATTTGAAATGCAAGAAAATTAATGTTATTTTTCTCTTTTTGTAGAAAATACAAGACACATCCTCATGATATATGAAGAAGATGCTGAAGAATGGGCTCTGTATTTAAGGGAAGTTTTTTCACATGCAGTAAAAAAGGAAACAATTATGCTATATTGCTTGGAAAATTTCTCTCTTCGACATTTTGAATCACTGAAGATGAACTCTTACAAATGTAAACTTTTAATATTATCAAACAGCCTGCTGACAGATCTAACTCCCAAGAAATGTCAATTTTTGGAAAAGGTACTGCAGTCACCAGGAAGTGTGGTTACTCTGCTGTGTGGGGTGAAGAGTTCAGATCAGCTCTATAAGTTACTAAATATCTCTGGAGACAGATTGGAAATCTCAACAGAGCAAGAGCCAGAAGACTACATCTCTCTCATCAGGAGTGTCCTATTCAAAGGTATTGATGCCACATTTTATCTGTTTTTACATTTTTTTAGCTAATAATGAATACTTGGGTATTAGCAAAAGAAAAAAAGAAAACAAGAATGCCAATTTTATTTAGCCATATTGTGCACTTCCTCAGAATGAGGAATGAATCTTAATTTCTAGTTATATTGAGTCAAGATGTATATATCAGTTGTTACAAAACTGGTATATAAATGTGGTAGTCAGGGCGGCCTTTATGAGGCCATGATGCAACTAGTGTGATATGCTATCTTATATGCTTTCCCATATACCACTTTTATTCTGAAATCTGCCTTCTTATTTAGTGGGGGAGGATTGAATTCATAATATCAAAACTAGTATTGGTGCTAGCCACTAGGAAGCCAAATTTGAAGCTTTATTTTAAAATCATTGCATGCTTGTCAGGCTAATAATTGTATAATATCTGTTACTGTGATGTGGAATAACGTTATTTTTACTCATTGTAGTTTGTGAGTATAACCACCATGATAAAGAGCAGAACACAACGTTTCAGTCAATTACATTCCAGGGTAATAGTTCCCACTGTAAAGTGTGCTAAAGTTCAAAATCCCTACCCCAGTTATACTCTGCCTTGCTGTAGACATGGACTACAGTGAGCAGTTTTCCTTGTTTGGCCAACCCTCAGCAGCCTGTCAATCAGCTACTATTTCAACCCTTTAATAGGCTGAGGTAAGGTTATGATTTGCTCTGGTCATATAAAGCAAGGAGTCCCCATTGAGCAGTGACAGGCACTGGGCTGTTAAACTCAAGGTAGGTACTACAAATCCAGCAACTTTTCCTTGGGAGAAAGACAAGACTGGCTGCTCCAGTAAACATTTACATTATGGAACTCCCTTAGAGTCAGAATCCACTCAGTGACAGTGTCACATAAGCTGGTGAGTGGCCACTCTTCTTCTTGGAGCATGTTTTTGTGTTCTTTGAAGACTCTCTCCCTCCCTTGGGCTAACTTCTCTGAAGTGCCTTAATGAGATGAATGTGTCCTCTGCTCTCAGCTCCTAGGCTTGGTGATCGATTTCCTATAAATTCTCACTATTATATTTCAATTGTCCACTCGTGTGTGTCTTGGTCCGATCCTTCTGAAATACATCCGAGTTGGTTCTTTAGTCTTACTTGGTCCATACCTGTACATAAAACCTTCATTCATTTGTGTCCTTTGAGAAAATCTGATGTGCAAGGCATGTCTCACACTCAAATTAACAATGTAGCCATAGGATTTTGCCTCTAGTTTAGTGGTTCTCAACCTGTGGGTTGTGACCCCTTTGGGGGTTGAACGACCCATTCACAGAGGTCATCTGATTCATAACAGTAACAATGACAATGATTTTATGGTTGGGGAGTCACGACAACATGAGGAACTGTATTAAAGGGTCATGGCATTAGGAAGGTTGAGAACCATTGCCCAAACATGATTTTAGCATAAGCATAGGTATTTTATAAATCCAGGGAACACATAACAATCCCATACAGTCTGCTCATGATCTCCCTAGGCAGGAAGGCTGCTTCCTGATCCCACATTCTTCCTCAAGGGGAAGGATGGTACTTCCCGCACATCAGCAACTCTAAAGACAAGATCCTTCTCCTTATTTTCTAGTTTCCTAAACTTTTCTAATTTAACCGTTTTATTATATTGTTGTATGAGTTATCTGTTTCTGCATTAAGAAAACCCCAAACTCTAGAGTGAGTACATGAAAGTAACCAACAATGATTTTATCACAGATTCTGTGGCTCAGGAACAGGAAGAGTTTAGCTGGGTGGTTCTGATTCAGGGTCTCCCTGAAGTTGCAGGCAAGCTATTCTGGGCCACAATCACTTGAAGGGGACGCTGGGGGAAGAACTGTTTATAGGGGGTGCATT